TCCGTGTCCTGAACGGCTGGTTGGTGCTGGGGAATGTCCCAGCCCAGCACCACTGACCTTTCTGGTGGAAAATAACTTCTGCCCAGTGGCTCCCAGGGATGTGCAGGTGACGAGTTGGCTCTGGAGAGGAGAGAGGGGAAGGGACATCATGTGAGGGGGGGGACACGGGTGATGGGGGGGTGGGTTTGAGTTGTCTTTGGATTTTTTTTTTTCATACAAAACTGTGCTTTGACTTTGACCAGAGGGCTCCAGGTAGGGAAGGGGGACCAGAACCTCTGCAGGCACCAGGAGGAGGGGAGGAAAAGAGGGAATAACGTGATCTTGGAAAGGCACCCCGTCCTGGAGGGCCCCAGAACCCCACCTGAAAGCCCCATTTCCCCCCAGGCAAATGAGGAACGCTGCGTTTCTTTTTCCCTGAGCACTTCTTGGTGCAGCTGTTTTGTTCTTGCCAGCTGAGCAGAACCCGTGACATGAACCCTGGGCAGGGCCCTGAGGCAGGACAGTCACAATGGAAGAACCCTGGGATCCCACTGGAAACCTCTCTCAGGCCATGGGAGCTGCCACGGTGATAACCACCCCAAAGACCCCCCCCAAGACCCCCCAAAGAAGCTCAAGCTGTGCTGGGGCTGGGGGGGGGGGGGGGGGGGGGGCAACAACCCCCCCCAAATTGCTGCTTCGTGCAGGTGAAAGAAGAAATTAATAGTCCCGATGAAAGCTTTAGTGTTTGAGGCAGATTAGGAAGGGCTCAAGGTAGGAAACAGGTTTTGGGAAGGGTTTGCAGCCCCCAGGAAGGGGGGGCAGGTCGGGCTCTGCGCAGGCGTTGCCTCCGGCGCCTGTTGCCAAGGCTCCCGATGCTGGGAAAGATGCATTTCAAAATAAACACATGGAGACAAGAGCTGGGTCCTGCTGCTGCTGCTGCTGCTGTCCGGGGAGCCACAGCCCGGAGCTGCCAGCACGGCGGAAAAGCCTCCAAAGAGGAGCTGAGTGGTTTGCTTCTTGGTTCTTTTGCTGTTGGTTTTTCTTCCCTCCCCACCCCCTCCCCCTCTTTTTCCAGTGTCATTCCCAAGGGATGTGGGTGCTATGGGTGCTATGGGTGCAGGGCAGGTCCCTCAGCTCCACAGCATCCACTGCTGGGGGTTGTGGGGCAGGTACCAGCCCAGGACCCAGAGAGAAACCTGTGAAATCAGAAGTTGTGGGGGAGTGGGGTTTTTTTGTTGTTGTTATTGGGGTTTTTTATTTCATTTTATTTTGTATTGCTTTGATTTTAAACACAATTGCTTCCCAGGCTGCTCTCTGCCCCAAAACTGGGCCTGAAAAACCCACTTCATAGGTTGTTTTCCCAGCCTGTAAGAAGCAGGAGCCCAGGATTGGGCAGCTCTGACCCCGCAGCAGCTCCTGGCCCCTGTGTCACCTGGGCCAGGGTCTCCAGCCCCTGCTCTGCTGCCAGCCAGGGTAAAGTGTTGCAAAATTTAAGTCAAAGAATTTGCAAATGGGGAGAGAAAGGCAAAACTAAGTAAAATGTAAAACTGTTGGGGAAAACAGCTCAGGAGTGTGAGGTGCTGCTGCTGCTTTCCCTGGGTGCTGAGAGGGTGACGGAGCAAGGGTGGAAATTCAAGGGGAAAACCAGCAAATGCAAGATTTTTCTGTCCCATCCGTGTCTTCAAAGGAGGTTCAGCTCCTGGCTGGGCCAGGAAATAGGATGTTTGTCCAGGGCTGGACTCTGGGAGTCCCTGTGAGCCCGGAAACCCCGGGGAGCCACGGGCTCTGCAAAGACACATGTGGAGGGAAAACAAATAAGTCAATAACTGAGCTATTTCCTGTTTGAAGCTGCACCTTGGGAGTGCACGGGCAGCAGGAGGGGAGATTCTCATCCTCCTGCCTGAAAGATTCAACTTGTTTTCAGCAGTTTCCCATCATGAAATGATGTTCCATGGGAAAACGTGTTTTCCTGGGAAGACTCCCCATGTGCAGCCCTGCTTGCAGTGTCAGGCTGCTGCATCACCCTTTGCCTGTTGGTTTTGCATTGACTTTCTTCTTCCAGACACCCTTAAGGTCCCTTGGTGGCCTTGTGCTCTTGTCTCCACCCCTCAGGAGCAGGCAGGTGCCAGGGAAATCCATCTGGATTGGATCCATGGTGTCCCCATGGGCTACCAGCAGAAACCAAGGGGCTCCTGCTTCCTTCCCCCATCCCCTGGATGCTTGGAAGCCCCATGAGGTGACACTGGCTTCAAAGAGAAGGTTTAAGTTGCAAAAGAAACAGAGGAATAAATAATACAATTTCATTTAAAAAATCAATAAGTAAAGCTGGCATCTGCTTGGGAACTCCCAAGTTTTGATCAATCCAGAACTGAAACATCCCCCATGGGCGGGATGATGTGGTGGGAAACAGGTGATTCTTCTCTTTACCCAGAGAGTATTTCTGGGATGTTATTTGTAGGGAACTCCTCCTGCAGGGAAGGGGCAGCCCAGGGGGGGTGCAGATCCCAGCAGAGCCAGCAGCACCTCCACGTGCCAACCCTGGAGGTGTAAACAGCCCCGTGGAACACGATGCTGCTTTTCCCGGGATTCTTCCCAGCTGGAGAGCACAAGCTCTGCCAGAGCACCAGCCCTGAAGGTGCTTTGACACTGGACTTTCCCTGCCCGCCCACTCCTGGAGCTCCTGGCTCTGGTGACAACAGGAGCAGCCCAACCAGCCAGGGGAAGGGGCAAAAGCTGCTGAGCTTTTGAGTTTCCAACCCCAAACCCCCCACCCGTGTGAAATGGTCCCATCAGCTGCATTTCCCTGCTCCCTCTCCAGCCAAAGGCTGATGCTGGAACCCAACCCCGAGCCCCCCAGCTCTCACATTTGAACAGGAGCTATTTTCAGCCTGGGAAAACCTCCCCCAGCTGCCAGAGCCTGAAATCTTCAGGAAAAATCTCATCCAGGAGCCTCCTGCTGCACAATGGCAGCCCCGGGCGCCTCACCAGGGATTTTTCCTGCCTGCCTGTATTCCCAGAGGCTGTTGACAGGAAACACTGGCTGAGGTTAAAGGAAAGAAACCTGGGATTTCTCCAGCAAAACAGGCCCTTGATCTTAATCCTTCCTCCTGGTGTGGCTGCCC